AAGTGACACGGATGTCTCCTGAGACTGATGCAGAAGATATTTCAACTTCTGTCCCTTTAAATGCCTGCTCTCCGGATGCGCTTCCCTGTTTACTCCTTCCGGGAAGCCAGCTGTGATCTATGAGAAGCTGCAGCCACATGGAATTCTACGTGGAGACATTGTGGCTGAGAGGCTCCATCCACCACTGAGTTCAGCCTTTGAGTCATCACAGCCCAGAAACTAGACAGATGAGTGAAGCCACTTTCAAATGAATTCCTGCCTCCAGATGATCAGATCTTCCAGGATGAGGCCCTCGAGATGACGGGGCAGGGACAATCATCCCTGCCATCCCCCGCCTGACTTCCTGACCCACAGAATCTAGGAGCCTAATAAAACTAAGTTTGGGGTGATTTATTATGCACAAGCAATAACAACAATAGTTAATAAACAGTCCAAAAAATCATTACTGTGACTTTGCTTCCTGATCCTAGGGAGACGGACTGGCTAGCGAAGAGCCTCAGTGAATTAATTTAATCTAATTCTGGCCTGATACAGTGAAATATACACATGCTCTAGAACGGTAGCTCCCTAGTTTGAGATTGAGAGAATACGTTGTTCATAGTTCAATGAGAGACTGGAAAAAAAAAAAAAAGGACCCTTCCCTTCATGGTGAAAATTTTACCACTGAAGGAATTACCCGGCTGGTCTTGTGCTGGATTTATAACGCTACACCCGCAAATATTCAAGAGGTTAGATTAGCTGGGATTAAACTCAGAGGGATGCTGGAAGGGCACCAAAATGTCTGCTCTCCTTCCTGCCCAATTGGGTCCACTGTAAATAAAACCTGACATGCTTTCTTAAATCAACTTAATAATGTGAAGCACAAGTGCTTTCAGATGCCCAGTAGCTAAACCACATCAGCTTTCTGAGGAAGCCTTCTAGCAAGAGGCGAAAATAATAATGGATGCTGCCAAGAGGGCCATGCACAAGAGTGGCCTTGAGTGACTCACTTCCCAGGGCTCCATCCATCGATCCTGGAAGGTCAGAGGGGGAAGGAGTTGTGCTTTTAATAACCAAACTCCAGCCTCAACTGACTCGTGAGAGCCAGATGCTGTCATGTTGGAAGCAGATGAGAACACAGTTATAATCGATCTGGAATCCTGATGAATTCCAGGTGCACGTCCCAGCAGCCTGGGGGAGCTGGTAGCTCAGAGCCCTCAGAGGGCATTATTACTGTCATAGGAGGCTATTCTGTTGCAGAGTCTATGGGGCCTTGGGACATTTTCCCTCTGATTTCAAATGGGAGTATTTTTTTTCCCCAGAGACAATTTCTCAGATATATCAAAGGATATAATGGAAAAAAGTAGGAAGACCAAGAAAGTTGAGGAGATCAAGATCAAGGTTCCTAAGGAAATTGGATTAAATATGGTGCTTATAACTCTCCAGTTGATGTCCTTAACCAGTAAGTACAGTTTCATGACCCAGCAGATTGCTAGCCATGGTCCATACCATTTGAGAGAGAAGAGAAAGCATGACCAGGATCCCAAATAGTTTCATGGTGGCTGGACATCGAGGCACAGCACGGGAGTCCAGCCACATCGGAGGAGCACCTGCCCATTTTCCAGGCCTGTTTCTCCACATCCTCCAACCAACCCTTTCCTCTGCACGGTAGAGTCAGTTTCTCCTTCTTGCAGACAAGACCCTGAACTAATGCAAACACCAAAAGAATGACCGTGCCTTCCAAATGTCTTTTTTCCTACCTGCCAGGCCAAACGCTCAAAAATATATATTGCCATGCAACTAAGAACGTATCCTTTTAGGGAATATGGTGATATGTTTGCCATGTGGATAAACTAGCCAATAAGAACAAACATGACTCCTTGTTCTCACCCTGGTCCTCAATTCAGGACCATACATTTTCATAAGGAGATGCTTCAACACCAAAACCAGATGCTTTAATTCCATTTGAAAAACAATGAAAGAGAATAGAATTCAAAGAGAAATAACAGCTGACAACAGTTTAGTTTTCATCTACTTGCTACACTCACATGGTCAGGTATGTCACAAACCATGATTAGTACAAGTCTGCCATCGGAATCTATGTAATTACAACTCATGTATCATGATATACATTGAGGTGCTTACTCAGTAACATCAGGCATAGGCCCCAACCCCCCACACCCACCAAAATGCAGGCCTTGGGTTCATAGTCTTACCACCATCAGATATCATTCGATTGGAAGTGCTTCCTACTTTCCTAAAACATGTACTTCAGATCTCATAAAACATGAGCAACATTCTTTGGGAAAAAACACACCCACAAAAAAACTTGCTGGTATTCTGATTAATTGAAATATGAGGAAATGGTGTAATCCTACATAAAAACCTATCAAGAGGTAAAAGATACCTTCTTCAATTTACATTTGAATTAAGGAGTGGTGGCCAAATAGTTGCTCAAGAAATAGATGTGGGGGGAGGGAGACCCAGCTATATACATACAATGGGTGGTCTTTAAATTTTCCTATAGCATCTGGTGCCACCTTTCAGCACTGTGCTAGGCTGTGCTCTGTGCAAAGGGTCTGGTTACTCTAATGCATACTACTTTATGCAAAAATGAATACTTATACCTGATACCCCACTCCCCACTGTAAAAACAGGGATCACCCCTCTGAAGGCAATGAATGGAATCCCAACTTACTAGATCATCTTCTTGAGGGCAAAGACTCCTCTGGCCCACTCCCTGGTCTCCTGGTACCTGGCATGGTGCTCTCTCTGCCAGGGGCAGCTCAATAGGTATTACTCACTGACCAAAACCCTACTTACACAGACGTCTGAGATCATAGGACAACTTTTCCTAATCAGGAACAGCTGGCTCCCAAACCACCTTAAACCCAGAAGATTCCAATGACATTTTGGCTAAAAAGATTACAGAATACACCCTTCACTATGATGTTTGAGGGGAAAAAAGATCCACTCTCATAAAGATGGGAATAAAAGAAAACAAAAACAGGCAGAGATTTAAAAGACTGGGCTGTGAGTGGTATTACATTAAAAAAAAAAAAAGATCAATACAAAAACACTGTTTTTACCCTAACACTGAAAAGGTAAATAGGATGATGCTCTTGTGACCTATCCATAAGAAGGAAGTTTTCAGGGACAGGCTCCTGCCCTGTCCTCATTCATGGCGATGAGAATAATCCCTTTGCTTGGTCTGGCCACATGCGCACCATGGCTTGAGGTTAATGCAGGCCAATAGCGCACACAGAGCCAGCTCTGTCCTTGTCCCTTCTCCCACATGGCACAGCTTCTTGTAGATGCAAATGCCTGCCCAAGGAGAATCAGAACTTGAAACACCCACCATTACTCACTTATAAGTAATTACAGAAAAGAGGCAGATTTTAGTTAAAGCTCTAAAATTTCGAAGTCAAAATTAATTAGTTCTCATCGAGACTAGCCAGTTATTAGATTTAGAGGATTACTTTTTTTCCCCATCTAAGTATACACTATACCCTAAATGCCTAAGTCATAAATGATTCTGACACCTGACAGCTAAAACTCAATTCTGCAAGTATTTGTGTGCCTACTATGCATAAGAAAGGCATTCTAGCTAACCTAAGAAAAAGCAAAATTAACATTCCCCTCATAAATTACTGAATTTAATTAATACTGATTCTATACCTTCATAATTTTAGGACATCATGTGGCCTGCAGTATAATCAGATGCTCGTTATATAGCTCATTTTATAACAAGGCTCACTGATAACTGTACAGTACGTGCTTTTGACATGAAAAAGACTTGCTCTTTTCATATATTCAAAGGAGGCAGGGTGGGGGGAATGGCCCCAAGGTCCTGTCTAACTCAGCGTTTCCCTCAGGAGATCCACACAGAACTGGGCCCAAATATCACCCGAACGGAAGTTCAAAATAATGCGCACCAAACCCCGATCCTGGCTCTGTCCCTCACCTGGCTGTGTGACCCCGGGCCAACAATGCATTTGGAATCTTAGCTTATTCTTTTATAACAGGGAGATATTAGTGTTTGTCTCACAGATGTTCGTACAGAATCCAGTGATTTCCTGTGTGTACCAGGCACAGCCCCTGGCCTATCGTAGGTCCTCAATAAATCCTAGCCGGGTTCTACTCTGGAGGCTCCCAGGAAAGATGGGAGAGAGTATGGAAGTCCCCTGAGATTTGGATTGTAATCTAGCTTCTGGGTATTAATCCAGAAGCATCTGGAATCAAATGGGATTGACAGAAAAGGCACACGGTCCCATGGTAACCTGGGGCTCCAAGTGCCTTCAATTACTTTTGTAATGTCTCCCCTCAAAGCAGCCTCAGATGTGGGGCACATTCCAGGGGATCCAACAGGCACTCTCCTTGGCTCTGTAATGCTGCACACCGCCACTAAGGGAAACTGGCTATTATTCCAGTTTTGAGGTCTTGGTACTTTGGCCCGGAACCCTTGGTGTCCTATTATTCATACGTAATTGTTTCTTCTTTTGTCGTCATTTAATTCCCATGGTCAACCATGCATATCCATTGGTTTACTGTTTTCCTGGGAAAGCATCACCTGTTTAAGATTACAAGCTGCTAACATCAGTGTCTATATATATGTGATAAGTTTTTCATAGCATCCAGCAAAGTAATGACAATACATATGATTTGAGGAAAAGAACTATGATGAATGAGTTCATGAAATTTACATGGTGGATGCTCAAGTATCAACCATAATGAAAACCACATACATTTAACAAAACCTGTTTTCAAACTGCCTATGCCATGTTCTCCAAAGGAAAATGAGTACTGCAAATAGTTTTTAACTTTTCTTGGATATGAGACACCATTCCACTTAAGCTATGTAGACTAAGTTCATTGCTACCCGCTCACTGACGTCTTAGAAAAGTAACTATTATACCCCTTACACCCTAGAATGAATAAAAAAATTAAATCATTCTATTCAAAGATGTCCAAACGTAAGATGTTTGCGTGAGGATTCTTTTTAAAACTGAAAAGTATCCTACCTCCTTAAAGTTGTCAAATGCTGATAAAATGATTTCATGCCCGCCTCTGACAAGACAAACGGCTGCCAACAGTTCTAACACAAGGGCTTTTGTTCTGTCAAAACAAGAAGAAATAGAAAAAACCACAAGTCAGTGAATGTGACAAGATGAATCAGCTGTTCCTTGCATCCAAGATCAATATAATAAAATATTTGTCCGTATGTTTTGTAAACTTTTACTAACTAAGGTATACTTACACTAACGTATATTTAAACCTTTACCTATCTCTAGAATATGTGATTTATCTAGGGTAGCAAATTTGGAAGGCTTGTTTCCCACTCTCTAAGTTACAAATTACTCACTAATGAAAATTAATTCTGGAAAGATTCATCTTTTAGTCCCATCATCAGATGACTCAGTACAATGTGGCTGAAAAGGTTATTAGTGAGCTAAAGACAAGAGGAAACTTGGGAATATTCAAGAAAACAACCCACTGTTAAATATTGTCTCTGGTTTTAGAATCAGAGACATAACATTTGCCAAGAATGCCCTACATTTCACATCTGCTAATTTGCACATGGCGCCAGAAAAATCCCCTATGACAATGCAAGTTTCCATCCTTTCTTCTTCCTCTGCAGGAGGTGTGAAAGGATCTGGATTTCAGCTCTACTAATACGAGAATATTTTCTGTGACTCAAGGAAAGAAAATAAAACTCCATCTGAAATATTTTTAGGAGAACCTCGAGATACATTCCAAGATTCTTAATACAATGTCAAGGACAGCACTGTTTCTTCATCTTAAGATGACTTCAGTGTTTCACCACTTTCTGGAATAAAATCTATTACTGACCTCTAAACAAAGACCATTCTGATAACGCACAGCATCAGTTATCTTAAGGAAGATGAATAGTGACTTCCCGTGGGAGAAGACAGGGACACAGACCATGACTACTTGGGATTCTTGTAAACTAAGGAAGCAACCATGAAGTTGCAAAAGCTTTAACCCGGGGAAGTTTGAAGCCATAATATTAACATACATAAATAAGACTTTGTGCTTTGCACTGCATTCCAGATCAGAAAGG